AACAACAAGAACTGTGGGGCCAGGTAGTGGCACAGTGGCAACACAACTGGAACCACGAGAGAAGGTTCCTCCTTTGCATCCTGGAGCCTCCTTAAACATGCTGGATATGCCTTTGCCTGTGACCTAGGCTGCCTGAGAGTGGTGTGGACTGAAGCATGAAGAGCTATTGGGATGCCCCCCTCTCTCTGTCTCTCATGGAAGAAATAAATAAACTTCTTTCTTTTTTTTTAAGAAGAAAATTACTTATTTTAAATTTTTTTTATTATTATTAATATTATTATTTTAATTTGATGTAGGTGCTCACCAGAGAAAGACAGAGAGAGAAAGTGAGAAAGTAAGTTACCAGGTCTAGGACTTAACCCATGGTTGGCCATATGGGAGTCTAGCCACCTTAACAACCATGCCCACCTGCTGGCCCCAATAAACTTCTCTCTTAAAAGATTATTTAGGGGGACAGTAAGTGGCACAGTGGTTAAGGCACTAGACTCCCACATGACCAACCATCCGGTTTGAAAATTACATTGGGGGACCAGCAGTTAGCGTAATGGCTATGTTGCTGTACTCCCATGTAGTCGACTGTGGTTCGAGTCCCGGACCTGGTAGCTTAAACTCACACCAGGTACATGTGCGTGCGTGCCCAAGATCCCGAAAGGAGAATGGAGGAGAAGGGATTGAAGCATGGCCATCCCCCCTGGGGGGGGGTGATTTCTCGCTTTCTGTCTCTCTCTGTCTTTCTGACGAGTGCACATGCCCTATAGCAAAAATCTCTCAAAAAAAAAGAAAAGAAAATCATATTGGGCATGTGTGTACACTTGCCCAAAATCCCAAGAGGAGAATGGAGGAGAAGGGATTGTAGTGTAGCCATCTCCCATGAGGGGTGATTTCTCACTTTCCCTCTCTCTGTCTCTGTCTAGTGAGCATGCAAGCGCTATGGCAAAAACCTAAAAACAAACAAACAAACAAAAAAACAAAGAAATAAAGAAAAAAAAGAAAGAAAGAGAGAAAAGGAAAAGCTTTTTTGTAAGAAGTCTTACACAGGGGCCAGCAGGGACATGGTGGATAAGGTGCTGGACTCCCATGTAGTCAATCGTGATTTAAGTCCCAAACCCAGTGGCTTGAAACAAATACCAGGCTCCTGTGAGTGTGTGCCCAAAATCCCAAAAGGAGAATAGAGGAGAAGGGATCGTGGCATGGCCATCCCTCTTAGAGGGGATTTCTCACTGTCTCTCTGATGAGCACATGCACCCTATAACAAAAATCACTCAAGAGACACTAAGTAGCCTAATGCTCTCCATTTTAAATGTACAGATGCAACTTTTTAAAAAATTGTAATACATATAACATAAACGTACCAATTCAACATTTTTCAGTGTAAAATTCAGTAACATTATGTGTTTACAATGTTGTACAACCATCATGTCTACCCATTTTTAGAACTTTTTAATCATTCTACACAGAAACTCTGTACCCATTAAATAGTCCATACCCAGTCCTCCCTCCTCTCAGCCCCTCCTAACCTCTACTCTACTCTCTATGAATTTGGGTTTTCTAGGTACCTCTTTTAAGTGACTCCTACATTATTTGACCTGTTATGACTGGCTTATTCCATTTAGCATAATGCTTTCAAAGTTCTTCCATGTTATAGTACGTATCACAATTTCATTCCTTTTTATGGTAGAATAATAATCCATTATGTAAATATATCACATTGTATTTATTCATCTGTTGATAGACCTATGGCCTTTAATAGCTTATCAGTCCTTTTCATCATTCCTACTATCTTATAAAAATATTATTATCAGAGCTCATATAAGTTTTTTAGATTTTTGCCATAGGATACATGCACTTGCCAGAGAAAGAGAGAGGGAAAATGAGAAATCTCCCCCAGGAGGATGGCCACACTGCAATCCCTTCTCCTCCACTCTCCTCCCAGGATTTTGGGCACATACACACATGTGCGCAGCATAATTTTCAAACCATCAAGTCCAGGAAGAGAACCGTGGTCGGTTATGCGAGACTCTATCACCTTAAGCCACCACACCACATACTGGCCCCAAAGCTTTTGTTATTTTTCAATAAACCAAGCAAAAATGATAAGCTTTGGTAGTGAACTGCAAATTTTTCATTTGGTTTACAGAAAGGATAAAATGGATTTTACAATATATTTTCTCCTTCACTAAACTGCTATCTTATGTATTTATTTTTTGTCTATAGTTCACACCCGGTCATCAGAGAGAGAGAGAGAGAGAGAGAGGGAGAAGGAAAGTGAGAAAGCAATCAAAGAAAGCAACACATAGCCACACTACACTCCTTCTCATTAATTCTTCTCCAGGGTTTTTTGACATACACACACACACACACACACACACACACATACACACCTGGCATGTTTTTCAAGCTGCCAGGTCTGGGACTTGAACTGTGAAGTCAGTCATGTGAGATCCAGCCATCTTAACCACCATGCCACCAGCTGGTCCCTATTTTGTTTATAACTTCTTTTTATAAAAAGTATGACACCCCCCCCCATGGGACCAGCAGTTGGTATAATGGCTATGTCGCTGGACTCCATGTAGTCGACCATGGTTTGAGTCCTGGACCCGGTGGCTTAAACTCACACTGGGCACGTGTGCTTGCATGCCCAAGATCCCAAGAGGAGAATGGAGGAGAAAGGACTGCAGTGTGGCCATCCCCCCAGGGGGTGATTTTTTGCTTTCTGTCTCTCTGACTCTCTGTCTTTCTGGCAAGTGCATGCATGCTATAGCAAAAACCTCTCAAAAAATAAAGTATGTCCATGTCCCCCAAAAAAGACATGGAGACAGAAAGGATGTGCTCATGCCATAATTCCTTCTCCATTTCTCCATCCTATCAGGATTTGGGGCACATACACTCACATACCCAGTAGGTTTTTCCAAGCCTCCACAGCCAGGATTCAAACCACGGTTGGCCATGTGGGATCTAGCTTCTTTAACCACCAGGCCATGAGACTGCCCCTATAGTCTCTTTTTATTAACAAAATATTCTCTATTTGCTTTAAGATCAATTTCTACTATATACTTCATTCAGCTGGGTCAAATGAACGAACAGCATCTCGGAATAAGCAATATGTCATTAAACTAATAATGAAACAATCTTTACTTACAAGGCAAATTTTACATGACTAAACAGAATAGCTTAGAAACCAGTTCTAGTTGTTATTGTATTGGGCTGATACTTTGATGTAAAAAGTCTTTTGAATAAATTAGGCATTTTAGACCTTTTCTCATCCAATCTGATGTCTAGTTTCTTGGGAAATTTCAGTTCATGCTGGATTTCAAATAGTGTATTATTCATCTCAGTTCATGTTCAATGTCAAATTGTGTATTATTCAGTTCTGGTTTTCCTCCCTCTTCAAAAAAAAATCTAAAGGTGAGATAGGCAAAGGAAATGAAATTCAATCTGAACAATTAGGTTTTCTATTAATAGTGCCATTATATATTGAAGTATAACAAATTACTGGCCAAAAACAAAATAAAAAGGTTTGGGGTAAACGAAAGTCCAGCTACAAAGTTCTTTAAGAACCCCTTAGTCTGTTTCATTCTTTGAGCCTTCTTTTCTATATTTTGTGTATTTTATGCTATATGAGGACAGTATTTTGACCTTCCCTGTTTATATTTTGGTATCTATGTATACTATATAACTTTGGAGTCTTAGCATAGACAAAACCCTGCAAATTTACCTTCTCCCCAAGTATAAAACATGAATATAAAGGAAAAAAAATACTAACAGCATAAATTTTCCAAAAGTACTTTTCCTACATCTATAAATATCTCAAAGAAATTAAGATCCTTGGGAACCTAAAATTGGTCAAGGAAACAGATGTTTGAATTCTTCTAAGTATAGTGTAGG